CAATTTTCCTGCTCCTCTGATGCTGCCTGGCCTGCTGTGTTCCTCCAGCTCCACGCTGCGTTATCTCTGACTCCAGCATCTGCAGGTCTTACTATCCCTCAATGTTGTCTAGGTTGTGCAGCACACAGCAGATGATCATAACTCTTGAAATCATTTCTGTGAGTATATTTAGGGTTCCTTCAGAATGGTCCAGACAGTTGAAACATTGCTTCAGTTTATCCCTGTGGTCAGCTATATCACATTTTATATAGCAGCATAGCAGTTTTTATGAACATCCTATGTTATGTGAATGAGAATTGCACAGTAGTTATCAAGAAATATTATCAACAGATAGCCTTTTTCACCAAGGAACCAATTTTTGCCATGGTAACTCAAATGTAGCTGTAACAGTAGACTCTGTAGAATAAAGATATCATAATAATGCAGTTCTAGAGCAGTTCTGGACTCATTCCAACTGCTTTTGAACAGAAGATTTTGATTTATATTTCTTGTCACGGGTACTCGAATACAGAAATACAGGAGGACAGTGAAAAGTTGCCATTCTCCAGGCCCATCTTAGAATACAAAAGACAGGATTAAAAACAGAAGCAGAAATAAAAGAAACAGCCAAATGAAAAGGAAACGTCTAGACCACTCCCCTGCCTCTATCATGAGTCCTCACTGCCAGAAAAACAGCCACCAAAAAAAAGCCATTAGTCTGCGAACACTCACCCCAGGCCCCCACATGCCGCCACAGCATGACTGCCATTACCTCCAATGTCAGGTACCCAGGCTGAGCCATGTCCTGGAGCCATGCCATCACGGCAGGAACTGTGTTGCCATTCTTCTGCACCATCTTGCCTCTACTGATGTCATTGCCAACATGAGCCCACTGAAACTGCCGGGTCCTCAAGTGGGCTTAAACCTGACACTAGGCTAACGATGCCGAAGCAATCAGTGCCTTGTTCTGGCTTATGTTGCACTGCAACAGATAATTGTGGCCACCATATTTGGGTTGAAGGACCATAGGATACTGAGGGAGCCCTGCATTCTTCGTGTTCATTGTATCTGGGACACCAGCCTTGCTTATCCTAGCGAGCTGGAGAGAAGGAAGTACATGACTTGAAGAATTGGACGATGAATGGATATGAGCCCTTCTCCCTACCTTCTCTTTCTACTGAGAACCCTTTATTTTCCACCTCTTCCCACTGAGAGCATGAGCTGAATGGATATGAGCCCTTCTCCTCCTTCTCCTTCTCCCTCTTCCAGTAACTTGTTCTGCTCTACATAACTTCAAGTATTCTTGAAGGTGTGCTGTATTACAAGTAGAATATCTACTCATGGACGAGAAGCCTTGAAATGAGGTAAAATCCCTTCAGCACTTGCTGAAAACTGCAGTCTTTTCAATTTTAAACAACTGTAGAAAGCAATAAACAATTGGAGAATTGAAACAACAACCAGAAGAAAAGAATTTTCCAATAAATCTGGAAGTGTTCGATCATCCCTTGAAAGAGGTTTGCTCCTTTGTGTTGCTGAATCACAAAAAGCTACCATCCAAGTTCAGTAAGTAACCGGGAAGGCAAATGGGTGTTGACCTTCATCTCAAAGGGAATAGAGTAAAAAATTATGGAGGCACTGTCTTATTATGAGGATTTGAATAGATTGGGCCAGTACTCATTGAAATGTAGAATAATGAGAGTCAACCTCATTGAAACATATTAGATCCTGAAGGGATTTGACAGGGTAGACGCAGAAATGTTTATTCTCCTTGTGGGAGATTCTAGGACCTGAGGGCGTAACCACTGGTTAAGAATAAGGGTTGCCCATTTAATACAGAGATGACGAAGAATTATTTCTCTCAGAAGGCAGGAGATTGGATTGAGGATCATCAGATCAGCCATGATTTCATTGAATGGCAGAGCAGAATTGATAGGCTGAAAGGCCTTCTTCTGCTTCTATGTTGTTTGGTCTTACGATGGTCTTATGGAACACATTTTTACCTGTGAAATATTTAGAAATAGGTGTGATCCAGAGTGTTGAGTTCCAACATGGTACTGCTAATGTCAATGTTATATTATTCTTATTTATATCATGAGCTGTGTGCCTTGCATACTTCTGGTGAACTATGTGCGCACTATCACTCTCAAGAGTATGGCATTTGTTGCAATTCTCCCAAAAATGTTTACATTGTTCCAACATAGGGACAGCAAACCACACCAAATCAGCCTCACTCTCACTGCTTTCACAACACAGTGATCTTAAAACATTCAATGACCTGCAAGTTGCTCAATCATTCCAAACCAGACTTTACAAATAATAGCACTTGGACACCAGGTTTATGACTTAAAAATAATGAACAATTTTGAACACAGAGACCTTGGAGTGCAGGTTCATAGTTCCTAGAAAGTGGAGTTGCCGGTAGATAGGATAATGAAGAAGGCATTTGGTTTGCTTGCTTTTATCGATCAGTGCGTTCAGAATCGGAGTTGGAAGGTCATGTTGCGGCTGTACAGGACATTGGTTAGGCTGCTATTGGAATATTGTATTCAATTCTGGTCTCCCTGCTATAGGAAGGATGTTATGAAACTTGAAAGGGTTCAGAAAAGATTTACAAGGCTGTTGCCAGAGTTGGAGGGTTTGACTTATAGGGAGAGGCTGAATAGACTGGGGCTATTTTCCTTGGAGCATCAGAGGCTGAGGGGTGATCTTATGGAGGTTCATAAAATCATGAGGTGCATGGATAGGGTAGATAGACAAGGTCTTTTCCCCAGGTAGGGGAGTCCAAAATGAGAGGACATAAGTTTAAGGTGAGAGGGGAAAGATTTACAAGGGACATAAGGGGCAACTTGTTCACGCAGAGGGTGGTGCGTGTATGGAACGAGCTGCCAGAGGAAGTGGTGGAGAATGATATAATTCCAACATTTAAAAGGCATCTGGATGGGTATATGAATAGGAAAGGTTTAAAGGGATATGGAGCAAAATGTTGAAAAAATGGGACTAGATTAATTTAGGATATCTAGTCGGCATGGTTGAGTTGGACCGAAGGGTCTGTTTCTGTGCTGTGTATCTCTATGCCTCTAATTTATCACTAAAAATGTAGCTTCAGCAGAACTCAAATGTACAATAAGGCAATCTAATCACTATCTATGATCTAAGCCCAATTTTATTTGAATATAAACCCCCACAGAATATAAACACACCGACAGACACAGTTAATGAAGAAATTAGAAGAAAGGAATTTCAACTGGCTCGTTCAATAATCATTTCACGAAAATCCTTGGACAATAAGTAGCATGATGAGCATGTAAGACTGTATCTTGCTTGAATTCCAAAGTCACGGGCAATGCCAACAGCTACTACAGACCTCTGGAGACTTTTACTTAGGTCTTACAGACTGGGGCTTTTATCTCAAAAGTTTCAACGAGTCATTGACTGCAAAATAACTAGAGTGCAAAACCAAAAACCAGCCCAGTCCGGTAGCTCCCAAAACAAAACTGTCTCCCGCCCAAAGCCCAGTCAGAGGTTTTGTGTTGTTTTTCCCTTTCTCAACATTCTCTGTGGTTGGCTGGACAGCGCTGGTCCTCCATTACTGGGCCAATTCAACATCCAACAGGTGCCATTCCTTGACCAAAACAACATCTTGGTGCCAGTTTGTCTACAGTGTTCTTGGGACAGTAATTAACCTACATTATCTTTCCAAGCAAATCCCCAACAGAAAATGTCAGTTTTTTGTTCACTCCTCTTTTTTTTTAAAAAAAACAAGCTTCTGTTCTAAGTTCAATTTTCAACTTCAACACACAGTTCCAAATCAAAAATTAGAAAAATAAAACAAAAATAGCAATGGTTTTGAGTGCCAAGCAATTAGTTGCAAATAGTCCTAATTTCTCATATAATAACCTCCTCAGGTCCAGATCTCATCTCGTCCCCTCTTCCCAAACTCTTCTGCTGAGCATTTGCCAGAGGAGGGGGTCTCTACTTCAGCTGAAGTTATGATGGGTTTCCAGGACAGTCTCAGTGGAGTGAAAAGTGAATGGGAGAAGGAGAATGAGGAAGTCACACTTTGCTTGTGAGTATGGAGAACACTTCTGTTTCACCTGCCTCCAGTGAGCAAAAACAGATTTAACAGATCACATATTTTCAGTCTTCAGATTTTAATCAGCCAAGCAGGAAATCCTCCAGTAATTTGCCTGGTCAGGCCCCAGATAAATTGCAACAGGGCCTTAATTACATAAAAACACCTTGATTTGCATAAATTTATGAACATCCTTGTCTTTTTTTAGTGGACACCTCATTTGCCTGCAAAACTCTACGTAAAATATCAAAAATGATTAACTCTCAGTGGGTACATAAATTACTTGTTTGTAATCACCAACTGCCTGCTTTCTATTGGGAGGGTTGGGTCAAAATCAAACCCTTATATTGCAGCCAGATTAGAATTCAAGCAAAAAGTTTTAGTTCATTTTCAGTTTTATTGAAAAGCAGTTTCACTGCAGCATTGAAATTAAAAAATAACTTTGCATCATTTCAATATTCCTAATATGATTTTAGCATCTTTATTGTGTTCAGTTTCCTGTGGAATAGTTTTAACCTTTTAGCTATAGAATGTTGTACTCAGCCATTTGCTGCCTAATTGTAGCTGCCTTTTAAAAGAGAACATTCAAGAAAGAATAAAAGAATACATTTCAATTAACAGTTACAGAAATTCAATATCATAAAATAAATATTTCATCTACTGTATTTTCCGCATAACCATAAAAACGGTGGTTTTAATTCAAATTCTTTTCTACTGATGTACAAAGACTGCTTAAGTCACACAAATGGAATAAAGTGATCCTCAAGCAGTAGTACTGCAAGTAAGTAATATTTTTTAACCAGTATTTGTCTTTATTGTTTGTCCAGTGAATAACTTTGTAAGAACTTCATTAGAAACTAAATGTACACACATGTTGTGAAACATCAAGACCACTTTTGAACAGTTGGCAATATTATAAAGGTTACTGTACTAAATAATTCTTAATTATGAAAATACATTTGTGATATTATTTCTCATATTCGCGTTATAGATTGACAATGGATGAATTATACTGTAAAGGTGAAAAACATAAGTTACAAGACTGACCTCCATTATAAGCATACTGAGAGCAAAGATAAAATGTAAATTTCACAAATTATCGTACTTACCCAGTGATGTGAGAGAAAAAGATGAAAAGAATGTTTTGTCTGAGAAGTTCTCAAACACATGAGCTTCTCAAAGCAGTGAAACAACAAGGGACTAATTCATATTCATCGCATTTTTGAACAAGCCCATCAATATTAGTGGAGCTCCTGATAGCAATGACTTTTTGAGAGAAATGAATTGGCAGCCATAAAGACAGTAAACAATAAAAAATGAAGTGTAATTAAAAAAAAGTGTAGCTGTGATGCATAAAATGCCAGAATGTTTCACTCCTTAATATTTCATCCTGCAGCAAATACGACCTTACAACAGTGACCTTTATCATTTGTTCCTCTGAAACCTGTCATCGCAAGTGTATGATTCACAATTTCAGGTTTCTCATTGCTGTTCTTGTTCCCGTAATTGTGATGATCTCCCGGGTATTAACAGTAAAAATGTTGCCATGTGCTCCATCGTAAATTGTGACTCATTTCAAGCACCCCCGAGTTCATAACGAAGAGTTGGCCTTTCTTTCCCTTTATTGTTCACGATTTCAAACATGTGTGCAGCCATAGAATATTATTGAGATCATAGTAAATTTTAGAATATAGATTTGACTGAGATTTTTATTCATTATTTAAAACTGAATTATCTTTATTAAGGCCAGCATTTTCCTTTCCACATAGTCATAGATGTCACTGTACACAAAGGGGATTTCCCCACCTTAAAGTTGTGCCCAAGGGCAACGTTTTTACATAGTGTGCAACAACCTGCATGCAGTTGTAATCATCACTCAGTATCTCCATTGGATCACTTACTGTTAGCAGTTGAAATGTTCCAAACCTCAACTTGTATGCAATAACATTTTGTAAAAATTGCATGCATTTTAATGATGCATAGTTTGAAGTGTTTTACAAGACAATAAAGTTTGGAGCTAACAGACATTCTTAACCATGAGAATAAAGCATGGAGCACACTGCTGAACTATGTTATTTTCTAAACGCAAATCTTAGAACTTATTGTTCATGACCTAAAAATGAAGGGTATACATAAGTTGTAGTGTAGTAATTTTGTCAAACAAAATACCCCAAAAAATACCTTGGTCAATCTCCCAGGAGTGCACAGACACAGAGAAAAAGGAGCAGGAGTAGGCCATTTGACCCATTAAGCCCATTCCACTATTCACCATGACCATAGATGATCCTCTACCTCAACAGCATACTCCTCTCCCCATGTTCCTTGATACTTTTAGTCTCTAGAAATTTAATTCTTTGTTAAACACCTTCAGTGGTTTAGCCTTCACAGCCTTCTCAAGTAGAGAATTCCATTTGTTTAACTCTCCTGCCTCCAACCAAACCATCCAGCTCCATGGTACAGTACATTTATCCAGTGATTGAAATAGACGGCCAACACTAATCCTTAGGCTAAAATGTGAAGACTGACTATGGTGTCAGCATCCAGAGAACAATATCCCAACATTAGTTATTGCTGTCAATGAAAAGAGGAATGAAGAAAGCATAGTGAGAAAAATAAAAAAAGGTCATTTTGTGTCACTGTGGTATTATTTATATCATCTTTTACATTTACATCATCTTTGATTTCTTTCAAAAAAGACTTGCTTAACATTTTGCATAAAATAGTTGTATTTTAAGACAATACCACCAACTTTACCATGAATCATATGTGGAAAATTTTTTACTTGCTCGTCAGAAATTTTTGTTGAAACAGTTGCTTTGCTTCAGTAACTAAATTGTTAATGAGACGATGATACAATATGTACAGCAGAACAACTAATGACAGAGGAACAATATTGTAGATGAATTCTGTCAGAATCACTTGGCTCCATATTTAAATTTCAGATGTGAAGTGATAGTAATGGCACATTACACTTGATTAAGTGCAGTATCACATGAACAGAACTGAAGTTCATGGGAATCAGGGAAAAGTTCTGCATTGGTTGGAATCATACTGAGCACAAATGAAATAATTGTGGTCGATGAAGGCAAATCATTTCTGACCCATGGCATTGCAACAGAAGTTCCTCGGGAAAGGCTCACCCATCTTCAGAGGCCTCATCAAAGAACTTTTGTTGTTCCTGAATTCAGAAGGGGAATGTTTGCCAATGATTGCAGAGTGTTCAATACCATTCAAGATCATCAGATACTGAAGCATTTAGTGCCTGAATGTAGTAAGATCTGGACAACGTTCAGGCTTGGGCTGAAAAATGGCAAGTAATATTCACATCATAAATGCCAGGCAATGACCATCTTCAATACGAGAGAATTAGACCGTCATCCCAAGACAAAAAATAATATTTCCATCAATTAATCTCTCACTTGAGATTTGCCACTGACCAGAAATTTAAATGGACCAGCCATATTAAAACTCTGGTACAAGAGATGATCACAGACAAATTTTGCAGTGCCTCCAGAATCCTGAAAAGCCTGTCTATCTTCTATGACACAACTTAGAGAGTGATGGAATACTCTCCACTTGCTGGATGATTGCAGCTCCACAAAGCTCAAGAAGCTCACCATGTCCAAGAGGAAGCAGCTCATTTGATTGGCATCATCCATCAGCCATATTAAACATTCACTCCCATCACAACTCATACATTATAGCAGCAATGCACGCCATATACTATTTGCAGTGCAGCAACATCTAGCCTTCCTTTGAAAGCACCTCTTAAATGTAAAACCTCTACTGCCTTGAAGGGCAACAACAGTTGACCTCTGCAAATCTCAGCATCTGTGAATACCCCTCCATCCTGACTCAGAATTATCATCTCTTTGCTTTGGTTGAGTCAAAAGCCTTGAACTCCCTTCCTAATAGCATTATGGATGTATGTACACTACAAGAAATGCAGCGATTTAAGAAAGCAGTGCACCACTGTTTTCTCAAGGGCACTTAGGAATGGACAACAAATTCTGGCCTTGCTAGTCTTAATCCTATGAAATACTTCAGCATTATTCAGCCAATAAATTGTATTGACATTGGTGGTTGGATTAGGGTGTGTGACTCAAAACAATTTACTTAATATTCACAGAAGCATTATAAAATGAAGTAGAATGCTGAACCACACGAAGAATTACTGGTCAAAGCAGAAACTTTAAGAAGTTTCACAAAGGAAGAAAGTGATGTAGAGAGATGGAGAGAAGTACAGAAGGTATTTGAAATCTTAGAACGGACAGATCTGCTAAGATAAATCAGTACGTAGATTAGAGGCAAGCTATTTTCCATCTCGAAAAAAAAAAAATTCTGATTCAGTAAACTTCACGCAGTCAAGGAGAGATCCGGAGTGAGACACAGCCTAAGTGAAAATATAGTTTGGGGAATTTGGAGGCAATATGGGAAGTACGTGCAGAGGGGAAGAAGTATTTTTTGCTTGTTTTTTTGTTGGGTCATAGTTTGTAAGGTTTTTTTCAAACAAGATAAATTGAAGCCAAAAGGAGCCCAGCACAAATAGGGGAAACATTTACAGGCTACAAACGAAAAGACCAATATGATTCTTGTTTTAAAAAAATCAACTTAAGAACTAAGTAATGAAAACAGAGATGCTGGGCCGGGCAATGCATTGTAACTGCATGATTTAGGAGTTGTTGGACCCCATTGTGGTTCATCATGACCACATCTGTACCAGGTGTTCGTTGCTTGAGGAGCTCCAGTTCAGAGTTGATTAACTACCTAATTTCAGTCAGTAGTCAGGTACAGGAGGGTGTGACTACCATTGAGGCAAGTAGAGGAATACAAGAGGTAGTGCTGAAGGATCCTCAGCCCTTGTGCTTGTCGTAATCATACAGTATGAAAACAGACCCTTTGGTCCAACTCATCTGCATCAACAAGACATCCCAATTTGACCTAATCCCATTTTCCAGCATTTGGCCCACGTATCTCTAAACCTTTCCTTTTCA